CGTCGTGTGTTCGTCGTCGTGTGTTCGTCGTCGTGTGTTCGTCGTCGTGTGTTCGTCGTCGTGTGTTCGTCGTCGTGTGTTCGTCGTCGTGTGTTTCGTCGTCGATACATAGCTTGAGCTGTTACTCACCTCGAACTGTCTTCACCATACAGTCCCTGATTATTCCCCCGTCATTCTTCAGCCTCCCATTGTATATAACCGTTCTATTGTTAGAGCTAATATCTACATCTAGTAAGACGCAACCTCTAGGGATCTCCCACCAGTCCCGCTCGTCTGGTAACCCTTTAACTGTCCAGCGGTCGTCGCCGTTCTCCAGGGCTAAGTTTCGAAACGAGTACGAAAGATCGCTGTTTTCTGTATACTAAATGAGGGTTTAAAAAATACGGTTCGTGGGAAGTATTATGAAAAGACCCTAGCTAGAAGCACTATTATTAAGTTTTTATTGCATCGACCTAGGTGAAGGTTTCCGCTTTTCTATACTCTAAGGCTCAGGTCAAATGTCGAACTTCACAAGAACCGAAACTAGTTGAAACAATGGATAACAAGGCGGTCTTCGTTGATGTCATTAGGTTCGGCTCATGTGAAGTTCGACTTTTGACATGAGCCTTAGACGAAGAAAATATTGCAGTCATTCCTAAACACTTTTATCCTAGACTTTATGTATAACTATGAACCTTCAATTGTATCGAACTTTGAAAAAACCTTCGGGATATTATGAGTCAGGGCACGGCAAAATCACAGATCAAATAGGAATATGATAGAAGAAAAGTGCAAGCATCTTATCATCCATCAAGTATTAATACATTACCTATAAAAACCTTCAGTTTTTTTCAAATCTGAAAATGATCTGAATCAGGACACGACAGTTACAGAACGAAGAGGATTGTAGCGTTTTTACGAGAGAGAAATGTCCAAGCATCTCTGATATCTCTCTACTAAGACCTCCAAGTAATAATACATTAATTTACAATCTAAACATTCACCTTTACGAAATTCAAAGGGAGACGGGAAGGGACCTCGTGGTGCAAAGAATTGTGGGGCTTAGTTGATCTCGTCCACAAACATATTCCCACAATCCTATGCACAACGATATTGTTACCAGTCTTTCTCCGAACTTTGGAAAGGCCAATTGTGCGCGTCATAGCGCTTGCGTACCTACCCCCGTGACGTCATCCATCCTTATGAATTCATTATTGGTATCGTACATTCCTCTTTTCTCTCTGTAGACCCGCACATAGCAAACCAAGATTATCAGACAGACCAGCAGTCCAAAAAGCACAGGAAGCCCAACTGTTATAAACCAGTTGATTCCTGATTGGCCGTCAGTGGAATGTTCGATTTGAACTTGAGCAGTTGTGCCTATAGTAATAAAAAAATAAGCAATAATAGTCGAAGTTGCAATTTATTTAGTTGTACCTAAATAAGATTAATGATCTCGTTCATGGAAGGTCGCTTCTCGTTGTACAAACAGTGACTAGTTTTGGAGTTATCAAGTTCTATGCTTTATAAGGACAAACCTTTTGAAGTCGTACGACTTGTGGGGCTCGAGGTCGTAATACGTGGCAGCCCTGAAAAGTCATTTGCAAAATAGTTAGTAGAATCCTGAGAAATGTAGAGAGAAGATGTAGAGAGAAAAGTGACGAGGAAGAGGAAAAGGGAGAGGGGACGGGGACGTGGAGAGGTAGAGGGAGAGGTAGAGGGAGAGGTAGAGGGAGAGGGAGAGGGAGAGGGAGAGGGTGATAAAAGAACAAAAGAGCATGTTCTTCTTGAAGTAGCAAAAGTACTATTAATCTAATTTAATAAAACTTCATACAATTAGATAAAAAGAGCATCTATATTTACTTGTTTGATTGCACAGTACTCCAACCTCAGGATAAGCGCCGTGATAATTCTTCTCAAAGTAGCATTCTCCAATATTGGACTCGTTTCCAAGGCAACGAACATGTGTCATCCAAACAGGTCCATTACCACTTCCATATATGGAAGCTGCATTCCATAATGTCGTCAGCACGCCTAAGAAACCGAGCTGTCTGCAAACCACGTGTCCAAAACGTGATAGCTGGTCTCGTTTCACGTGCACAATGCTGCCCCAGATTCCTTTGTACTGAACTTCCAAGCGACCGCTGGTGTTTCCACCGACGAGACGAAGTGAAAAATCTGATAATTGTAAATAACATTTTTGAGTGTTTCAATCAAATATTCGACTTAATTGCCCTATCTCACTATGACGTCACTGCTCGTTTATGTGAGGGATAGAATCGCCAAATTCAATAGAAAATTCAACAAAATTTGCTCCTAGCGAAACAGTTTAATCTAAAATGGCCTCGTTTTTTAGATATAATATGTGTTAATATGTACTAAAAAATATTCTGAGCGTTTGCTGGCTATTCTACTTCTCTTCGTGGATTGATACGGGTTTTAGAACAATTTTTGGTGAATTTGCGTTGATTTGACCCCCTCCGACGACCATGATCCTTTGCGTTTAAAAAATAGATTGTTTTGATGTGACGTCATAGTGAAATAGGGCAATTTTGGCTAACAATTTACCATCACGTCGCCTCAACTCGCCTCGACCCTCCTCGCAACGACTTTTTGGAGAGAAAAAAGCCAATCTACTTTCAAATATTCCATGATCAATAGACCTTAGTTTACTTGATGTTGATCAATTTGTGGATCATACATTTAATGTATTTATCAAGTTCAACCTCGACTTGGAGAATGATTTCGTGGTTCGAGGTAAATTTCGGAACGTAAGAAAACATAAGATGACGTTTCTGTATTCAACTATCGTGATTGGATAATAGGAATCTTGGTGAGTTTCTCATTGGTTTAGAGTAGAGACCGTTCGAATGTCAAGTTTCTAATTTCTGAATAAACCTCTTTACCTTGGGCAAAATGTTTTCCTATTTCAGACCACGTGTAATTTCCTAAAGAATATAACTTTTTTTGTTTGAGTTGTATGGATATAGACCCCTTGCATGTGGCGTCAAAGCAGTTCAATTTGGAGGACAATACAAAAGAACTTCAATCTCCTGAGAATTGGAAACCTTTTTTTTTTTTGTCCTCCAAATTGAGTTGCACTCAGACGTGCTGCAAGGGGTCTATTCAGGTGTCATGCACAACCGTTAAACAAAGAAATGATACTCTAGAAAATGACACGTGGCCTTAAATGGGACAGCATACCGTCCAAGTTAGGGGGTTTAACGTCCTTACCATTATCCACAGTTTTACTTGTCTTACATATCACAGCAGCATCGTTCACGTGTGTTGGATACACAGAGCTCAACCCACCAATCGGACAAGAAGAGATAGTCTTCTCGATACCAGCACAACTCATCTTGCTCAACCACACAGGCCCAGTCCCCGGACCAAATGCGCCATACCCCAAAGCCTCTATGGAGTACGGGAAGCCGAGCTGGCGACAAATTACGTCACCATCTTGTTTGGTAAAGTTATCGCCGCTGATTGTGCCCCAGACTCCCGAATACCAGACTTCTACTCGGCCAAAGTAGGATCCGTCGAGTCGAATTTTCATGTTTTCCAGGGCAGCTTAAAGAAAGATGGAATCGTTTTATAAGATTTTATAACACAAACCACAATAAGTACTCTCCTAATTAACTAAATATGGGCCTTAACTTGCAAACGTTTAGACTCTATATTGATTTACTCAAAGGCATCGCGATTATTTTAGTCAAACGAGGGTCTTGGGGTTAAAATGGGAGCTGGGATTTACCTTTCTTGGGCTGGGAAGATGGGATTCACAAACAAAAAGCAATAAAAAAAAAATGGAATGGGATTTGGGGATATAGGTTGGTACTATGGAATTTGGTCAAAATATGGCCGGTTGGGAAATGGGATTACGACCAGCCAGACCCTCTCAAACTGCACAATGTACACTTACTCTGTTTTGAGTTTGTTTCACACACAACACCAGCATCATAGTCATGGCTGAAAGAGTCTTGCACAACTAATGCATGTCTACACTTCCATAGACTTGATTCGTTCCCTTCACACTTCAAGTCCCTCAGCCATAACGGCCCAAAACCGGGTCCAAAGGGACCAGCAGCAAACTTGATCACGTGAGAAACCCCTTTAAAGCCCAGACTCGTACATAACACCTTGGCAGCTTTGATGTCCCAGCCTGCATTGTGAACTGTTCCCCAGACTCCTGCGTTGTTAATCTCGACTCGTCCAGAGAAATTAGTGCCTCCCGCCAGGCGATATTTAGTGTCTGCGAAAAAGGAAACAGCCTTTTAGTTATCGGACCTTGAAACAACGGGCTGATGTAAATCAATGCACGGCTGCTTTAAATATCGACTTGCACGAAGGGCTGTTTGGATTCGTATACAAATTAATCATTACTACCAGAAAACAAAACCAAAACCAAAACAAAACAAAAACGAAACAAAAACAAAAAACGAAACGAAGCCAAACAAACAACAA